TGCGCACTGGCGGGTGCAGCTGGCACCGCACGTGCACTAGGGACGGCTGTTGGCGTGCTGCAGTGCACTGCCAACAGCTACTGGGCATGACTGGGTACGACTGGCCACTGCTGCGCGCGCGGGCTACGGCACTGGCATGCATAGGCACTGTCGGGCGTTACTGTACGCCGCGGACAGGCGGTGATACGGAAGTGGTCATCAACCCCGGCGAGTCCGACGTAGAAGGTGACGATGGGCTCGATATTTGGTTGGAGAACATGTTAGAGGAGCCATCTAGTCCGATTTATCGACCATCATGCAAGAGGGACTGACCGGAAGGATGTGGGCCACGGGCTAAATTAAAGATCAAGAAGCGCAAGACCAAACGAGCACAAAGGAAACGCAAGGCGAAGACTAAGGAATCATGTTGTTGGTGTAAGCCTTGTACAAGGAAGAGACGAGCGCGAAAGAAAGAGGCTAGAAGGCGTGGGTTGCGATGGGTTGACAAAGGATGGTGGATACCGGCCGAGGATTGTGCTAGGTTGGATGGTTGGGACCCATGGCCGGAACCAACGGTGGCGATCGCCGACGAGAAGGGCGACGGCGATCGGCTCATGGGCGAGTGGCGCGCATCGACCCATGATGCGCGCGGGTGGACGGAGCAGGACGATACACGTGGGAGTGCGGTGGACGAGTGGGCTTCGTACGCTGGCGGGACGAGCGAAGTGCGGGACGATAGCGCGGGCGAGGCGGGAGCTGTGGGCATGCACGAGACGGGCGCATGCCTATGCACGGTAGGCATAGGCGAGGGCGGTAGCGCACACGCGTGCGAGGAAGGCAGCGGCAACGAGAAGCGCGCGATAGCGCGCGACTGCAGCACAGGCGCGGATGTCCTAGGCGGGGCAGGATTGGGAGACGCGCGCGCGCGAAGCCGCTCGCGACAAGGATTAGGTCTCGAGGGTCGGCGCGCGCAAAGGCGGTTAGGGCGTGCGCACATGAAGGCGGCCGAAATATGATGAGGCGTGTGATGTGGATTTGTTTGGAGTGCAAGCCAAGCAAAATCAAGATCTAGTCAATTTAGGACTTTAGATATTTAGTTTCCTTCTTGCACAATAATATCTAGATTGTATAGGATATTTAATATTTTATTGCTTTAATATGTTTCTTAGGTAGATTAGAATTAGTCATAGTTAGGATCTATAAATAGGGAGCGTCCCCCATTGTTTTTCATGTCTTGGAATGGAATAGAAAAGAACGTTTGTTCGAAAC